ACATCATCTGAGTTTAATTTCAAGCTGCTGTTTATTCACGAGTTATTCGTGAGTTAAGAAACATTTTAAAGTATAAATATATTAAAATAAAGAATAGTTAATAAAGTTTTAAAAATCATCAAAATGTTGTGGGCGGGGGGGTTCACAGATATGTGCTATGACTGTGTCATTATGGACAGATGAAACAAAGAAAAGACAAAGTGAATACATATGACACAAAGTAAATGTATGTCTGTACTATCTGATTAATATGAGTTCAAGTTATACATTCAATGTCAGTTTTCAATGTGTTTTTTTTCCTCTCTCTCCTCAGCCTGACCTCTTAGCCAGGTCTGACTTTATAGCTAACTCTGGTATCACTGTCTTCACTGTCTGACCAATGAATTATTGAACATAGAAACAATTGGCAACTGCTACAGGCCAACCGTCCATGAATTGAATGCACTATGATAAAATAAAACAGTGTTCTATCATGGTTCAACTTCGTACCCTTACACAAAATGACTCAATACATACATTTCACTATGAGTATATATGACTACAGTGGTATCTGTAGGTCACTCCCAACATAGGTCAGGCTTCACTTCTACACATGCAACCATTCAAAACATCCCTGAAAATTTGGAGTCACTATTTTGGATTAGCCTGCCCCCCATCCCCCACACAGGGACAGAAATGTGTTCATGAACCCCCACCCGACCAACACCCCCATGAATTGAAATACTATTGAGAACCTGATAACATGTATATTTTTAGCTGTACAAACCACTGTATGAGTTGCTGCCACCTAGTGGACTGGAGGCTTGTTATCAATCAAGCATTACAGCAGTGGTACACTTATGTCCAGCATGCCATTTTCTCATGCGCCCCCACCCCCCGGCACCTCACCGCACCAGACTATTTGAGAAGTACTGAATTAGCTCAACCAACAAACAGACAGATTGAAGAATGTACTGGAAGTCCTAGGTCAGGTGGTTGGTTGAATATTAATTTAATTAATTTGAGTGTTTCATTTACGGCCAGTCTCCTCTACTGTGTCAAAAACATTGACAGTGTTTTTTGTTTTGTTTTTTACAATTTTTACAAAAAAAGGGAATGGAAAAAAGTCAAATGCAAGATTTGCAAGCAACAGTTTGCATATCACAGCTCAACTACAAACATTTTGCATATCACCTTTAAACGGTAAGCTAACTTGTCTGCGTCAGTATGCTCCATCCGTTTTGAGTATATGAACATATCAAAATTGCCATAACCATGTTCTGGTTTAGTCTAATAATCTTCTTACTGGCTAAATAGTTCTCAACAAGTTCTTGTGCTATGATATCACTATTTGATATAGTTAAGTTGCAAAAATCATGGGCTATCAAATTTATTAATTCATTCATGTAATTGATTATTAATTTAAGTTATAAGCAGACAAGGCTACCATCACTTTTTTTACTGTTAAACATTCACATTTATATCAAAAGGCAATTTTGACACTATAAGCAACATACATTAATACTGCAATCAGGTGATCATAAAAAACTTCAAGACAAGCAATGTGCTCTCATTTCCCATCTCCTACTTAGGTGATTGGTTAAAAGCAGAGGTCACATTTGGTTGTATGTGCAGTGGTGTGCTGCGTCACAATGACAAATAATTCACTTTCCCTATACGTACAGCATGTTCTTCCAGTTAGAAAACACATTTTACGTGCACTGCTGCCCTCTACAGGGTTGACTGTGTGTATCTGTGTTACTGCTACTGACATTTTATAATTTATTTGGTCTTGACTTTCAAGAGTAACCTTTTCATCAGATGACAGTGAAAGTCCGTACAGGAGGAAGTAATTTGAGCAGCAGAACAGTACTTCCATTGTTACATACAGTAGCCGTATCTCAAAGAGTGGTGCAGTGTACTCGACTTGTCACATAGCAACTGCTCACAGTACCTATGTTACTCACCTACGCTAACACAATGGTATCATCATAACCTAGGACATAACAGCATCAGAAGGAAATCAAAGAGAGCCAATGTAGCACAATGCCATCTTCAACACGTGATAAATTTGCTTTAAAGCTGTTCGTTGGAATGATGGAACAATACTTTTTTAATAAATTTATAAGAGATGGGGACTAAACCACAAAAGGCCATCGGGTGAGGATGTCATAAACATGATTTTTCAACACATAAGGAATGCATTGCGGGATGCATGTTGCTAGGCCCCACAAACCAAACATCCTGGCACCAACCATGGTCGACATGTTTGTTATGCTACCAACATGCCCTTTTTTGTGTTTAAATTATTTTTATATGCCTTACATGTTTAAGATTTAATTTAAGTATGCAACAGTTACTTACAGTAGGGAAGAACTTTTTGGATATAGGCTAGGTCCACGACGAGCAACAACAACCTGGGCCAATTCCAACAGGCAACTGATGCCTCACTCTGCAACAATAGCCTGTAATGGAGTTCAGTTCTTGTAAACCATAACGCTAACTTTATCAAGGAGACTCACTTTATGCTAATGGCTGCTCTGAATTGAATGTTTACCCTGTTGCACTATGGAGAGGACACGCTGCATAACAACTCTGTTAGTGTTGTCTGAGGCCTAACTGGTTAAAAGTTGTGACGCAAACTCTTACTATGAGATATGACAACTACTAAAATGTTTGTGAAGTACTTGACGCTCACCTGCCTGTGATGCTCTGTGGCCATTTTGTGATGTCGCAGTGTGATAGAGGGGGGTGGGGGACCTGGGAGGGCGGGAAGGGGGCAGTTACGTAATACCCAATTTGGCAACCAGCTGAGAGAGTGCAGTCAGAGCCACTAATAGGATGCCCAAAGCTATTGATGAGACACGTGATGCGCCGTGAATGACGCAGAGCAAATCAGAGGAAGGTTTACAGAGGCTACCGAGGCTGCGGCCAATTGTTACGTAACGTTTGAGACCCTGCAGTGCAGCTAACCTCACATATGAAAAAAGGCAATAGACATGTTGCTTTATATGGGAAATAAACGGCGCAGGGTTGAGCAGACAACCCCCCGCCCCCCCCCTCACCCGCTAGCCCCCATCAGGTGCATGTAGGAAGACTGCGGCATTAGTCCCTTGCTTACCTTAGGGTCCTTTTCATAGTAGTGCTGCTGTGTCCGGATCCAACGGCCCACCAGGTGATCCCTCACGGTGTTGGCCAGGGCAAAATAGTAGTCTCTCTTGGTGGCCACATTGCGGTCCTTCACCAAAGTGAAGTGAAGGTGCCTGTTGAAATTAGTTTTCAGGTCTGCGACATTTTCCACCCCGGCCAGCCCTCGTACAGATATCTGCTTCTTTTTCTCCTGGTCTGTCAGAGGCTTGGACATGTTTTATCGAGTCTGTCTTCCGTTTTTGAACAAAGTTCCGCTCAATAAAACACCGCCACCCTTTAAAAAAACTCTGACTCCACTGACCACAGACCGGAGATGCGCTGGTTCAGCCCACTTTTTCTGTCACGTACTCACGGTCAAGTCACCGAAGAGTAAGTATTTTATTTCCGGTAGACAAAATAAAGGTTTCATTAGGGTTTCGTGGGAAAACAGTAATTTACAAGAGTAATTTACCAGGTCGTCACAGACCTAAACATCAATAAGAAAAATACAAACATTCTAGTTTAAGCTGTAAGTCATTTAAGTTTAGCAACAGCAATATAAGCAGAAATGTTCTTAAAGTGAAGGAGAGGACTTCTTCCGGTCTATATTTTCCGGTCAACCATAGCTTCGTATCAGGAATTTTGCAAGAACTTGCAGAAAAGTATATTTTACTTACAATGTACAAAACCTTTATAAATATAATAATAATAACAATCATATAAAATTAATTCCCTAAATTAAATTAATGGAACTCTTCAACCTTAACCTGGATGACAGAGAATCTTCATAGATTCTCTCTGTATGTTTCTTTTATTTTCCGCAAGCAACAGTGCACTTCTAGAGGCTACTAAAGCAGTGGAGGAAGAATGCAATTCCCATTCAACTGGAGGTCAGGCTAATAGTCAAGTCATAGTTTATGGTTTGGGACACCAAGGTCAAAAGTTGAAAAAAAGATATAATTTTAGACATCAGATTTATCACACTCTGTGTATAGACCTATAATAGGTGTGGGCAAAACTTTTGAGTTGCAGGCCGGGTCAGGAGCAGATAGATGGAGCGTTTGTGTGAACTAAGATAAATGACATGTTAAAGTCATGCATAAAGGCTAAAATGCTTTTATCATTTTCAACACCATCTATTGGGGAAACGTGGGTATTGCAGGGAAAAGGCATACGTATAATAATATAAATAAATTATATAATTTGGAAAAGTTTGGTGGGCCAGATCTGGCACCCAGGCCTTAGTTTGCCCAAGTCTGGCCTATATATTTGGGTTGCCAAGGTTAAGGCTAAGATCTATTTCCTCTTACTACTTTTTTCCCCCTCTTATTAAATACTTTTTCCAGCTCTTGTGCCACAGTGAAACCAGGACCAAAGCTTCAAACTCCAAGGCTCAATGTGTCTTTAATGTGGATTTCTCATATCCACAAGTGCCTACTCACTCATCCTTTATGGGCCAGGTGACATGCACAGAGCTGAACACAGTGGGACAAAAAGACTTTGTTATGCAACGGTTTTTCAATGACGCACCGGACCAAAACTTGGCCAGCACTCGGACAGTCAAAAGAGGAAGCAGTCAAGACAAAAAGGTGAAATGGATCAGTTTATTCTAAACCGAGAAAGATTTAAACAGCTATTCATTCAGGTCAGAGTCCAAACAATAAGACTGATTCTGGAAACGAGGGGAAAACTTGACATTTTCTTCTCACCGACGGCTCCTTGTTGAGGCAAAACAAAACAGCACACACACACTTCGTTTGAACAGAGATGGAGGAAAAACAAAGATATCAGATATCCAACATTCAAGTAGTGCAGGGTGTCGGACACTTACAAACCTTTGCACTGCCACTTTGAAAAAAATTAAATAAAATGAGAGCAAACAGAAAACAAAAACAAGCCTGGAAAGTCCTTTAAAGTAATTCGAGAGCACTATTTCTGCTGACAGGACTAAGACACTTTTAATCTGGCTTTTAGAAAAATAGTCTAATTCAACTCAAGGCCAACACAAGAAATATGTCATTTTTCATGCAGACTGAATTCTGGCGTAATCAGTTTAATTTAAAATGTGTGCATGTGATTTGTTTGATAGTCGAGAAGCATCTTAGAACCGAAGCGCTGGCTGAGGAACAAAATCTGAGTCTGATTGAGAAATGTTGCTTAATCTAAATTTAAAAACAGAAAATAACTAAGCTACACAAAGTTTACAAATTCAACACAGCCTTTTAATCCCACAGAGGCATTGTCACAATATAAGGATTAATAAAAAATAAAGCACAGATTATGTTTTTCTTTTTGCCAGCACAGATGCTCAATATAACGTCAGTCTATTGGATACATCAGAAAAATGTGCTGTAGAATGGAAACTCCTGGGGGAGCGGCGTGGATCTTTTGTG